TAGAAATACTTCTAGTCGCTTCATGCTACAGAAACCGGGATAAGCTCCGGCCTGATGGGCCACTTGGCTCGCATGCAGACTTTACCTTTTACCTTTACCTAGTAGATTCATGCTGAGAAAAGATAGAATAGCATCATAGATTGAACACATTAACAAAGTAATCCAATCTTGTGTTCGAACTTGAAAATCCAAGCCCTATGTTTTCATGTTTGCCAAAATTGCAATCCATCTCCACTGTCTCCATGCTCACCCAAGCGGTTAATCATTATCCTCACTTCTTAACAGGTTTTTATTATTTTGCCGAGCATTGTTCTTCAAAATGTCACAATTACTCGCAAGTTTGTTACGACCTACATCAGTTTCGAGCTTCTCCGTATCACGCTACAGATAGACTGTCATCTCTACTTGCTGACCTTAGCACGAGCGTGCATCTTATCCAACACCATGTGCTTCAGCTTCTGGTAATACACCGGTCCAAAGAATATGTACGCTGTTAATGGCTCCCTGAAATGAAACATGAAGCAATGACCATTACTACTTTACGTTACACATAGGACGTATGTTGTAAAGTGAAATACGTGGAAAACATCAACAATTTTGCGATACAGCAAGGTCGGGATGCTCCTCGTCTCGCTTAGGGGTGTAAATCAAGGAATTTGGTCTTACGTAGGATGCTCAGAACGAAATGCTACTGGTTTTAGCTATCGAGGTATCTTTTAGGGATGCACTAAAAGAAATAATAAAAAAAGCTGTCAAGTCTGTTTTAAAGTGGTCAGGAATGGCGGAGCGTATTTTGAATTGGGGAGGAGGGGGGCTAAGCGAGCGCCAGAGGAGGTCTGGAGGTATTTGTCGTATTAGTTTTATGTATTGTTTGCTTGAAATCGGTGGGGGGGGGGCGCTCCGCCGCCCCTGGTGGTATCTTTTAAGGGTCGACTAAAGCTAGAGCCACCCCCGAACTGGTCTCCCTTAGGGGTTTAAGTCAAATTCCCCACGAGCATCGCCGACCTTTCATACGAGAGTCCTTCCCGGCGGTAGTGAGTGAGGACGCTTACGATGATTTTAGTGGTCAAGTTCAAGTCAACAGCTAACGCTACACGACCTTTTCTATACTGCGGAAGAACAAAGACCAGATTTGACAGAATAAAGGAGGCGCAAAAGACTTTTGAAGATTACCGAACACCACTCGAAGGCGTCCGGAGATTACTGTAGTTCACCCGAAGACTTCCGACTGTTTACGTTCCTGTCTTGTTTAACTTACCCAGTGATACCAGACGTTACGTATTCCTTCCCAGAGTAATTGAATCCATGTTCTACAAGCACACTGCAGACATCTTCCACCTTGTCACCCCCAAATGCTGCAATTAAGGGACCGTTCATTTTTTATAAGGTAGGGGGGGCTGGTGGGATTTGGGGGGGGG